CCAGTTCGTCGCAAGGCCTCTACCTGTACACAAACACAGAAAAACGCACACACACAAAATAACATCCATGCCCTGAGTGGGATTCGAACCCACGATCCTGGTTTCCAAGAGAGTGAAGACAGTACATGCCTTATGAGACGTTTAATAACTGTAATTTTACAATCGCTCGGAAATAAAAAAAAATCCTGCCCATGCATAAAAATGTAAAAAATATCTGAACAATTCAGATTGTTGTCTGCTGGCATGTGACGTCTTATATATTTGTAGATAGTACCGACGTTTCGAAGAAGTGTCTTTTACCAGTAATTGAGAGTAATATATTCCTCCTCGAATTTTTATAATTATTTACAGATATACACGGCGTCATATCATAAAAGCTGCCCCACTCACCGCCGTGACAACCTCTAATTATACATGAGGAACAATGTGGCTGTTGGAAGCTCAGCTAATTTTACCAACACGCTTTATTCAATAAATAACACAACGTTGCACATTATAGTACTAATTTGTGAGTTGACTTAAACATAAATAGCTAAGGGATGTCGTTTTTGCCTCTTAATATATTCCAAGGTTTTCTTTATAAAGATGTTTAGACATAACGCATTATAACTTATAATTCTTACTTACTTAATCCATTTCTCTTATACTTTACGGTGTAGAGGTTTATTTTTTCATTTTGATTATTTTACAGACGGTAGGACTCCTTGGATGAGTGATCAGCTCGTCGTAAGGCCTCTATATAAATACACGACAATACAAACACAGAATAAACACATACACACACCAAACATCCATGCCTTGTGTGGGATTCACACCCACGATCCCGGCTTCCGAGCGAGCGAAGACAGTTCATGCCTCAGACCGCTCGGCTACTGTGACAGGCCTACTAAACTTCCCTGGTTTGTTCGGAATATAGCATCTGTACCACGGCCGAAGCGAGTATACTTATAGTGCAGGAGATTTAAAATTATACACTTCACTGTTCACAGACTCCGAATATGAATTTCAATACTAATTTTCATACTTAAGGATGAAAATCAGAAAGCAATTTTCACTATCAACCAGTACATTCAGTCTGAGGTTCAGTGACACTGATCTGTCCACAGCAGTATCAGTGACCTTGAATAGGCTTACGTGACGAAAAATTAAACAGAAATTAGTCAACTCTATGTGTGAAAATAAATGTAAGATTCATTATTATTGCTGTTGTATTCTTTATAATTAGGTTATATGTAAAATCGAGAATGACTGATATATATATTAATGACTATAAAGACATTGAATTAAACGTACGTTCAGACTAAACTAAATTGACCACGAAGAGTATTACCTTCTGGGATGTAACTCCGTGAAGTCCGATGAAAGTCAGCCAACGTTTCGGAGGAACATATCGTCTGCATCTTCAGGGTCGAAGAATGAGCCGAGTAAGATACCAACATGAAAGCTGGTAGCTCAACGGACCACACAGCGTTATATCATAAAAACAACGCAGTTTTCTTTATGCCCATTGCTGTGAGAACCTCAGCTCACTCATTCACTCATTTAGCTGAGCCCTTCTTGAGAAGCCTCCAGTTGAGTAGCTACTCAAGAACTTCTCAGTATTTCTTGGAACACGAAGGCTCATTACCGTGTTCAAAAAAGCCCTCCATTGGTCCCTATCCTGAGCCAGATCGATCCAGTTCACACCATCCCATTCTATTTATCTAAGATACATTTTAATATTGTCCATCCACCCACGCCATGGTCTTCCCAGTGGTCTCTTTTCTTCTGGCTTTCCCACCAATATCCTATATGCATTCCGCTTCTCCCCTATTCGTGCTAAATGCCCTGCTCATCTCATCCTCCTTGGCTTGATAACTATAATTATAACTAGCGAAGAGGACAAGTTATGAAGCTTCTCATTATGCAGTGTGACAGCGTCAAATCCTACTAAATTAACCACTGTCATAAAAGCTTGGAGAATATTTACAAAATATTTAAGATAGAATGTATGGAAATCTAATTAATCCCTACAAAACATGATACAAACCGTTTCATTTCTTGCAAATAACCAGAACATGGTGAGAACTTCACTCGTGACCTTACCACAGTAATCATCACCAGTAGCCAATTATAGCATTCACAGTCTATGGTTAAAATACCGGAGTGCATACCTCCATATTCCAGAGCATCTTCTTCCAATGGGTACTTTAAAAACACCGTATTGCCTGCAACGCATTGCTTTCAAAATTGGTATTTGCATTTCACGCATCAATGTACTGTATTTTGCGGTACTGTTGCGTCATGTACTTCCGTGTACTATAGTCTGCGGCAGATAATTAACACTACAGAGTCTGCGTTTGCCTTCGTCTGCATTTTGCTTGAAGCACAAGCGAGTGGACTATTATCATCATCATCCTCATCTCTACACCCTTCATTCTTTGTGCTAATAGGATGCAAATATATGGAAAACACAACATCACTTCAGCAAGCCGAGTTATTTAGCGACCGCTAACTCTGCTCTTTTGTGCCCTTTTTCGCTTGTCGCTTGTTTGATTGCTTGGAGCCAACAGCATTCAAGCTAGAAAGAGAGTTTATACGCTTATGTAGGATTATAAAGGATGAAAATAAAGGGACAGCTATTTTGTAGTAATGCGTGGTTTTGTAATCTGGTGCTGTGAAGAACCATTTGAATTTGACACACAGAACGTCACTGCTGATTACTCCTGCTTCAAATTAGGTTGCCTGTAATTTGACTTCTGATCGGCAAGACTAATTTTTGGCTAAGTATTATTTTGTGGGGAGGAGAATTTCCTTCACTTTATCAAAGCAAGAGCTGTAACGTTTTAAAATATGCTATGACCGCTTCCTTCTACACATCTACCAATTCACCATTAACTCATATATATCTTCCGATCAATTTTCCATGTTTTAATTTCGTTTTAATTGAAACAACGTTTCGGAGACAGGATTCTGCCTCTGTCATAAAGCAAAAAGCCTACTCATTTGGGCCGAATCAATAGAGTTGGCCCTAGCTCGACTCATAAAACCTTGTGATATGTTTAGATTTGCCACTACATAGGCCTAACCGATGCAGTAGTGTGTTGCTAGATAAGAAATTAATTAACATGAAAATTAGGATCCTGGTCACACTAAGACCCCTTTGGGGACAAATAGAAGGAATCTTTGTAAATTTGTCCTGTCGTAGTGTCTGAACTTTCCAGCACACGAAGGAAAGATTTACAAATGTTGTGACTACATTCAGAACACACGTTGTTAGCGTGACTAAATAGAGGGCGGTGAATTAACCTGAATACTAGCATGATTGAGGGAACAGGAAACACATTGTTAAACCCAACAGGAACTGACATCTTCGGAGGCAGGACATTAGATAATATTGAAATATTAAAGTAGATCTTAAAGCAGGAGATTTCGATAGTGTAAATCGGTCTGAACCACGTATATGGGAATCGGTATATAAGCTGGACTATGAGATAGTTTCGTCTGCCGGGTCACTGGCAACTGAAAGAAGACGAGTCCGTTGTTGTCCTGAATGACCAGTCATATCCAATTTCACACGGAATGCTACCTAGCTTACATACGTATTCCATGACTTCGTAATTTTTGTGATCTTCTGTTTTTCAAATGTGCCAAATCAAAGTTTCAACTCTTCTAGATTCTGACTTTCTAGTTGTTTCCAGTTTAAGAGAGATATTTTTGTGTTCAGAAACAACGTACAAATTACACACACACATATATATACACATTATGTCGTATAGTCCTCATTGCTAATCGACGTTTCGATAAACACATTCCCGAGGAAACCAACGAGAGCAATATTAGGACGTACATTGCTAGGCAATGGATCAGTAAAGAAGCCTTCTCTATAATAGAGGCTGTGTTTTTTGCGTGGTCCGTGCAGAGGGGTTATAAAGAAACAAAGAAGGTCTTTTAACGGAGGCAAGGTCGAGTACCTCCACCGTGAGCCTGCGAATCGTAAGAGGCGACGACAAGAGAAGTCTCAGATCTGAGAGAGGAAAATATGGTCGCGAGTCCAAAGGGACTCAGACCCGAGAAATACTGCGCTGGAAAGACCAGCATCATATACAAAAGACAGACACGTCCTCTCGTCAGAGACGGTGCCCCACAAAATCAAGACCGTAATTGTTAAACGGTAATAAATATTTGGTCATGAGCCCAGACGGGGCTCGACACCAAGTCTTACTGACTGACTGACTGTCAGTCGCAATATGACTTTAACTTTGACTTCGTTTGAGTTAACTTTTGTCAGAACTTGAAAGAGTTCAGTAGGAGAAGCATTCATTTGAGTGAGTTGTCAATACGAAAGTATTACAAACGTTCCAGTCAAAAATGCTACGCTCAATAACAAAGGCCCCATGGTTCGTATCCAATCAAACCCTTCATGCAGATCTCGGAATAGCCTTCATAAATGAAGTCATCAACAAAAAAGCCACCAAATATAGAGATCGTATCGTAGACCACGACAACCATCTGATAAATGAACTCGCCGCTCAACCCCTGGAGAACAGAAGACTCCAACGCCTTTGGCGTATCATTCGATACTGAATAACCTCTGCATAAGAATTAAATTCATGAAATGCTTAAAATATTTCCAAATTCTCGTTCCATGGCCTTGCCATAGTTTGGCTCGTATTATGTTTTTCAAATTATTCTTTGCAGTAACATGATCATAATTTGTGCTAAAATACCTTAATTTCGTTTTGTACTTTTCTATCAGTTTATATGTTCGTAACTTATTTCTAAAGTTCTCACTTAATTTTGTAACGAATATATATGTATACGATTGATTTTAAAGTGTAAATTCTTTTACCTTAGACAAACTCAAACTTGTTCTCCCTGTTACACATATTTAGGAAATATACCAGAATCCTACCACTACCTAGTGAAATCTGAATTAGTTCTACTATTGTTCTGTATTATCATATGTATACCTGTTGTAGGCAGAGGGACTCGTGTCTAAATTCTATTTCTGATTCCAGTTCCACCGGACATCCTGGACTACCCGACCAGCACGGATATGGTGGTGCGAGAGGGAACCAACGTGACGCTCCGCTGCGCCGCGACGGGCTCGCCCCAGCCCAGTATTATCTGGCGTCGGGAGGGGGGTGAAGCAATCCCCTTGGGCAATGGGCAGGAAGGTATGTATGTGAGACATTTCCGAGCAGTCCCCATAGGTGGGCCCGTATGTGGGAATGTTTTTGTTATCTTGGAAACAATTCATTGCCATGGCAGCTTCAGTTACAGGACTTATTCAATGCTGGACCGCATTTTGGACTGGAGACGATTTTCATGGAATCAGTTGCGATACTTGGTTGTAAATCACAGCAGAGCACGAGGACGGGGGATATTTTGCGCTGTAACCTCTATAGAGTTTAGAGAGATACTTTGACAACATATGGAAAGCGTTTCTAAACACCCTTGTTGATAACTATTGGTTTCATACAAGCTTAATTTCTGCCACTAGAATGCATATCAGTCAGCTCCTGTGGGCAGTTTTCTGGCTTTCTGTCCTACTGTCTGTTCCTTTATAATATCATAGTTAAACAGTTCCAAAATTAAAACATCTAATTCAAGCAAGTCCATTAATTCCAGTAGCCCTTTACATCTTAACAGGAAATTCATATTTTTGTATGCTACATCATCTCAGAGCCGGGATAGGGCAGTCGGTACTGCGACTGGCTACGAGCTGGACGGCTGAGGGGTCGGAGTTCAAGTCCTGGTAGATGCAAGATTTTTCCCTTCTCCACGTCTTTTAGACCGGTTTGGGCTCACCCAGCCTCCTTTCCAATGGATACCGGGGGCCCTTTCCCCGGGAGTAAAGCGGTTTGGGCGTGAAGCTGACCATTCAACTCCAACAAGGACCGGGGTCCACAATACGTGGATCTATACATCATCTCCCTCATACGTCTTCATAGGGTAGTGTTTAATTACTTAATGAAGGAGACAATTTTACGTTTTCATTTTTTCTCTTGCGTGCACAAGTGCCAATTTCTTAGCATCTTAAAGAAAGAAGTTTAACTTCGTAAATTAAATTTATTTATCTGGTGCCCATAATGAAGTTGAAGAAAATTTTGGATACGCATCACAAAAATAATTGCACTTATATTCAACATACTTCAATTTGGCATATGGAAAAATTGACTGATCAGTGGACGGAATCTATTATTGTACCAGTTCACAAGAAGGGTGATAAAATTGCTTGTAGTAATTATAGGGAGATAATCACTGCTATAAACTTCATACAAAATTTTATCCAATATTCTTGTTTGAAGGTTAAGTCCATACATAGATTAAATTATTGGGGATCATCAATGTGGGTTTCGACTTAACAGATCAACTATAGATCAGATATTTTGCTTTCGTCAGATATTGGAGAAAAAAATGCGAGTACAATGAGAGAAAACTGCATAATGAGGAGCTTCATAACTTGTACTCTTGTCCAAGTACATATAATTAGAATGATGAAGTCAAGGAGAATGAGGTAGGCAGGCCATGTAGCAAGAATTGGGGACAAAAGGAATGCATATACGATATTGATGGGAAAGGCAGAAGGAAATAGACCACTAGGAAGACCAAGGGGTAGGTGAGTGGGCAATATTAAAATGGATCTTATGGAGATAGGATTGATCTGGCTCAGGATATGGACCAGTTGAGGGCTCTTGTGAACATGGTAATGGACCTTCGGGTTCCATAAAATGCTGAGAAATTCCTGAGTAGCTGCAAATTTGGCTTCTCTTCAAGAAGGGCTCGGCTGCATAAGTAAGTAAGTATATTCAACATATACATAAACATGGAGTATACAATTATTTATAAGTTTTAATATCCGTAATCAGAGATTACTCTATTTCATATAGCTCTTTCAGTAATTTTCAGAATTTACTTGTCTCTCTCAGTAAACAGAATAGCGAACAAGTCTACACACTACAGCAATATCATAAGGAAGACTGATATTTTATTTTCGGTCCAGTTATTTTAATAATTTGGATAAGCAATTCCATATTCTCTCTTTTCCACTACTCTTCTTCCTCTTTTCTAGGATCACGCTATAATCATATTACTCTCTACACTTTATTACACTTCTTTCTCTAAAGAACGTATATAGTCGTGTATTTTGGGTAGATATTACTTCCTGTAACATATATCACATTTCCGCCCCAGTTCGAGTAACCATCAATATTATCTATGGCTGCAAGCTCCGGTACCGTACCGTATAGGAATGCTTAGAATGGAAGTTCCTGAAAATGGGATATTGAGGAGAATATTTGGAGCGAAGAGAGCAAAAGAAACAGGCGGCCGCAGAGAAAGGCATAATGAAAAGTTACACCAAATATTATTAGGGCGATCAAATCAAGGAAAATGAAGGGATAGCAGCACAGAGGAAACGCGATATGCATACTAAAATTTTGTCGCAATACCTGAAGAGAAGGGGCCATTTGTGAGACATCGATGTGGATGAAATTTGAAAAAGAATATCAGAGAAATGGGGGTGACGATATGGGCTGGATTCATGCGATTCAGAATAGGGACCGAGGGTGGGCTTTTGCAAACACGGTAACGAATATTTTGGTTTCATTAAAGCAGGGATAATAATGGGTGAAGAACCATTATCTCCTGAAAAGGACGCTACTCCGTGGAATTATTTGTTATTTGAATGCTTCATCTTCAGGGATATTATTGATATTTTGAGATGTGTGTTAAAATAATGTAAGGATAAACAATGTTAATACGTGGGGAAATGTTCGAACAAAGATATATAAGTAATTTTGAGTCGGGAAATAATCTGATTTGCCTAGTTCTGTGACTTACAAACGAGTCAAACATTTGAGATTGTTAAACGTTTTGTGTCTTCTGAAATCAGCTTGCGGTTACAATGGAATCTCGGTTGTCTCCCTATTTGTACCGTTATTTGACATGAAATTAGAAGTTCTGAAAGCTCTCGTTTGAAAGTTTTTGTGTTTTAGAATATATTTTTTAAATGTTAGTCCAATATGCTGATCTGACTTCGGGTTAATCTCTGTTCTTTAGTCTCTGAATCCTAAAGATGGGAAAATACAACTGCCAGTATTCCTTGTGTTGCACCCGAATAAGAATCTATCATATATTAACTTTTATTTGTCATTCACCTCCGTTCACTTTCTCTATGGCTCTACAGCCCTTTGGGGCTGTAGAGACCCAAAGGGCGATCAACCAATTACACTATCGCGTAATTGGTTGAGGCACTATGCTACAAACCAGAAGGTCGTGGGTTCGAGTCCCGATGAGGTGAATTTTTTCAATTGACCTGATCATTCCAGCCGCACTATGGCCCTTGGGTCAACTCAGCCCCTAACAGAAATGAGTACCACGGATCTACCTGGGGGATAAAGGGTGGCCGGCGCGTAAGGCTGAAAACATTACTGCCATCTGTGAGCCAACTGTCTATAAAATGTGGGACTCTCATCATCTCACAACCATATAGGCCTCAGTGGCCTGTTACATGGATAGCTTTTATGGGTTGAATTAGTTAGTGTTTCGCTACGCGCCATAGCTCAAGCGGTTAGTCGCTGACTTCCCATCGCGNGTTACAAAGTATGAAATAATTTGGGGGAACTAATAGAAGAAATAATTTTGTTAGAAATTTCCATAAAACATAGGTTTTAAAGAGCAGACACATTTGAACAACCAGTGTCTAAGGTGCATTAGTAAAAAATGTGTTTACTTGGTTCATATTTTGCATTTGTTTCATGTAAGATGCCATTAGTTTCTGCTGTGAAGTCTGTTCCTTCTTATATTTCTTCTACGTGGAATAACTGTGAACAGTAAAGTTCTCAGCTCAGGTGTTAAGTAACGAAGATTAAGTTCTGAAAATAAGCACGAAAGCAAGCATCAAGATAAGTATAAATCTAGACTACATACAGGTTGCTGAAGATATTATTCGGACGTATGAGAGGCAAAGAAACAGGAGACTGGATAAAACTTCATAACGAGGAACTTCATAATTTGTACCATTTTCTTTTTTTTTTAAATTCGTATAATGGAGGGTGGAGTCCAGCTGGGTCCAATCGGCACGTCGGTCACTGATTGGTCTATTGTACCTCCCCCGGCTGATTATGATGATGGAGAATTTGGTGGAATTACGATTGGCAGAGGAAACCGAAGTATTCGGATAAAACCCGCCCCAGTGCCACTTTTTCCACCACAAATCCCACTTGATCAGACCCGGGCTCGAACCCGGGCCGCTATGGTGCGGCCACGTACTGCATTTTACTAGTAGACACATAACCAGAAGCATGAAGTCACTGTGGCGTGCAGCACAGAAGAGAGATGGAACATGCATACAAAACTCTATTCGTAAAACCTGAAGGGAAGAGACTGCTCAAAATATTTAGGCTTAGATGGAAGGATAATATAAAAGTAGACCACAGAGAAATAATATTAGAGGAAGTCAATTGAATTCAACTCACTTATGGTAGGGTTATAAGTGAGCACTTCTGGATAATGAACATTTGGATTCCTTGAAAAGAGGGGAGTTCCTTGACTAGCTGAGAAACTCAGTTTTCTAAGCAGGATTTGTTCTTTGCTTGCTGCATAGCTAGTTACTTAAATATTCGGAAGTGCTCGCTACAGTTCGCTTCGGTATCTTTTATATTACAGACTCTTCTAATTGTTTATATGGGTGTTAAACTTGGTCACTGATCCCAAGGGAAAATCATGATTAGAAGGATGATTGAGAACAAAGTGCAGAGGTAGATGTATGGAACTGAAAAAGAGGGAAGTAAGGATTGATACAAAGTATCTAAGGTTATAAAGATTTTTATACTTCAAACCCTTCACCTAACATATTTAATTCAAGAAGCATATGATCAGCAGTACATGTATATATGTATTCTAGAAAATGTAAAATTCTTGTAAATGCTGTGGTATACCAGCCTCAAGAGAGGTACTATATTGTGTAGGTAATAAATGAAAAAACAATATTAAAATGTAACTTAAAGATATAAGGTACGAAAATGTGTACTAGGTTGAAGTGGTTCAGGATAGAGGGTAATTTCTCGTAAGGACCTAAACACACTTTTACGTAGGCCTTTGATCTTCTATGTCCTTTCTCACATTTTGATGCAAAGCGATATGCCCCTCTAGCATTTACATTATCATAGTG